AGGATCGATTTGCGATATTTCGGTTTTAATTCAAAACCATCATCAAATAGATTTACAAAGTGGCAAAACAATCAATTTATATTACATATTAATTAAACAGAGCTAACTAGTCCTTTAGCATTTAAAGTTATACATAATATTGAATTTGTTATGATTCTGTTGTTTACACTGAATAAAATGTTGGTTTTATACATTGTTAAAAAATAAAAATTGAATTTAAATTTAGAAATTTAAATCAGCAAATAATAAGAAAATATAGACGTGGGGTTCCTGTGGCCCATGCCGGAAGTTCATCGGGTATACATAAACTTCCGGTGCGGGCCACAGGAACCCCGCATCTATATCTTCTCATTATTTATTGATTTAGGAGGGAAAATGGGACTCACTCGCAGTCTATTTACTTTTGACAAAAACCACTAGTAATTATTTTGAATATCCTAAAGAAAAATTTTAGTTACCAAATATGACTGATTGGYAGTCATTAAGCACATTAACACAGGAAGCCCAACTAATAACTCTTGTTACATAAAACAAAAATGGCTGCTGGAAACGAATTTGTCCAAGGATGATTTTTTAAAGGGAAATATAAAATGAGTAAAAAAAGGTGGGCCATAGGGTAGGCCATAGGGTAGGCCATAGGGTAGGCCATAGGGTAGGCCATGGCCCAGGCCATGGACCCGGGCCCAGGTTTTGTTGTTACCCGGTCGCACGATTGAAGAAATATAAGCCTTCACGGTAAACCACTGGAACATGTAGAATGCCTCAAATTGAATTTGTTATTTGCTCTCAAATTCTCTGTAAAAGTTTAGGCTTTAATCTTATATTCGGTCAGGGTAAATTTAAAATTGATGTGGAATTATAATGTCATTAGAATTCGCCGCCAATCTTCACGAACAAAACTTGCATTTGTCAGAAGTGCTAAAGAAGAGAAGGGGGCTTAGTAGTTGGTATTCTACATCTCATAATAGCCTGCGAAAGCGCCAGAGTTACAGCTTCAAAACTGCCGAGGACAACGTAATCTTCACAAGAAGATATTAGTACGGTTGATGGAAGTCATTGTATGGCGCAAATTACAGGAAAACCACATTCTGACGAGACACCTACTACCGAAGATAGAGAGAGCACGGCATAGACCAATTGGCAGAGACTGTAATGTAAACCACGGTCGAAGTTAGATTTGAATGGCTGAAACAAAAACAAAATCTCTTGGCATTATGTTCGAACTAGACCCTGACAGCAGGGTGTACTCGTGCCCTAAAGGTGTTGAAAAGTGCTGTCTTATTCAGTACTTTTTCAAAATGAGCTCATTTAAAAGTTTTCTTGTGTTTGACCAACCATGTAATATACTGTCTTTCTCAATTTTCAAAAATAGTTCGACCGAGTTGACGCTCTAAGGAGGGTCTGGTTTAGATGTAAAGAATAGTGCTACCAAAGGCATGCAGTTCATCTATACTGATAAATCACAAAGTGATTTGAAATCAAACTATATTAAGAGAAAACATTTGTGAAAGTAACTCCTTGTTGATTTACTTTTCA